AAAAGTCTGGCTGGTTCTTTTCCAAGGGGACAGGAGCCTGGGAAAGACGTTTTCCCTGTTCAACCCTGAGCCGCGCCCAGATCCAGGTTCTTGGGTGAACAGGTGGACAAATGGATGGTTCTGGCAAAGCTGGCTTGTGTTCAGGCTCTGTCCCCTCAAGCAACTTCAGAAAACCGTACAATTCCCAAGGGCAAGCCCCCGCTGGAGAGCACTGGAAGTTTCAGAAGTGGACGCGCTAGTGAGCCAGGCCTGGCTCACGGCTAAGGAGTCTGGATGACCAGGTCTCCCTTGGGTCCTCTCCTCCCACACCTCCTCCTCACACACACTATGTCAAGGGCCAGAAGGCTTTGCATCTCTCTCAGGAGTCCTGGGCTTGCGCACAGTCAGCCCGCACAGATGCGCCAGCTCTCTGCTCCCTGATGCACTGCCTCTTCCCAGAGGCCACTCCCCGGTGAAGGGCAGACAGGGCCTCGGGGATCTAGGTGGAGGGGGGGCAGACATTCACAGCACTCGTGATCTGGCTGGGAATGTACCTGAATGAAGGAGGTCCAGAGGGAGCTGAGCGTGGGGCCTCTCCAAGGCTGTGGGCCAGAGGCCTTTGAATTTTGACAAGTGTTCTCCAAAAATGAAAGCGTTATCTGCCCCACTGCGTGCTGAGAATCGTAGCAGAGTCCAGGCACACGGAACTTGTTTTCTTGTTTATGACTGCTTGCCTATGCTCATCATGCGTCTGTCTGTCCTCATGCCCAACAAGCACTTCTCATTCTAAGCCTCACCAAGACCCAGATGAGGAGACAGACGCAGAGAGGTGAGGGGCTCCCCACAGCCACACCATCTAAAAGGGGAAGAGTTTTGTATCGAATCCAGGAGGTTCACCTCTCGGCTCTCCCTCCACCAATTAACGAGGGGACCTCTCAGTGCGGTCCCTGGTCCCTCCTAGGCGATGCACTGACAGAGATGAAGACACCAGGGAGTTCAGGAAAGGCAAGAGACCATTTGAGTTCGGTTGACAATGCGAGAAGTCACAGAAACCAGAATCCTCCAAACTAAGAATCTCTGAGATTCCACCAGAATGCCAAATGTCACATGGCCAGGCAGAAGGGTCAAGCAATTCCATTTGCATGAACACATCTGGGAGACAGTGTGCCTCATTGTCCACGAGGGCTGAGTGGGGTGGGAGATAAGAAATGTCACCCCTGACATCAGTTTTCTCCTGGGGGACAGTCACAGTTTCCAAGGGCTTCTTAGACAGCAAACCCCAATGACTACAGGGGACAGAAGGAACAGCAACCTTGGGCATAGTCAGCCGCCCTCTGAGAGCCCTCTGCATTACGCAGGTGTATACAAGAACCAAAGGAAGTACTTATGATGATTTTCACTTCATTAATACCTATGGCCCAGAGACACCAGGCATCTCAGTTGTAAAAACATTAGGAACAGGCTGGGGATACAGAGCTCAGTGGTAATTGCTTGCTTAGTATGTGCAAGGGCAGGATTCAATCCCCAGGACTGCAGAAAAAAAGAAGAAAAAAGTATTAGGAAAGTGGGATTGTTTCTCTTGCCCTTGGAACATAGCTCTTCACCACACTTTGTACTCACTTAACCGTGGTGGAGCCCCCAGCGCCCCAGTGATTTCCCCATGAAGTGCTCCAGGTGCATAAACTGACTTGACCTTCAGTAAATGCTAACTCCCTGCAGTTGGCATTACCGCAGCCTCGAACCTGAGATGGGGAGATTCTGCATGTGGCTGAAGCTGGGGCTCCACTCGGAGGGGGGCATCGTCTGCCTTGGCAACAAAGGATCAGGGCGTCATCCTCCTTCAAAAGTGGGTTCGGATCCAGTTCTGAGAGACTCATCCAGACCTCTTCATTTTTTTTTTTTTTTTTAATATCAGGGATTGAACTCAGGGGCTCGTCCACTGAGCCACATGCCCAGCCCTATTTTGTATTTTATTTAGAGACAGGATCTCACTGAGTCAGTGAGTGCCTCGATGTTGCTGAGGCTGGATTGGAACTCGCGATCCTCCTGCCTCAGCCTCCTGAGCTGCTGGGATTACAGGCCTG